TGCATCTTATTTCGTGTAACGAATCAATTTTTTGAGTTACAGAAATCGGATGCGATTAAAAAAAAAAATAGCAAGCCTGTCCGATACAATATTTAATATCGAGCATTAAATATCTCTCCGCTATGACGCACAAAATTTCACGACTAACGAGCATCGAGGACTTTAATTTTTCAAGCCATTTGTTACATTTCACAAAGAAACATCTTTCATTGCGGATGATCGCTTCTTATTTCTTTCCGATTAACGAACATGCGCGTGTATCGTTGGGCAATAATTATAACTTCAACTTTCGCCTTTGCAGATCCGCAGGACGCGTCGGAGCGGGATGATGCTCAAGATGAAATCGCAGAAATCATAGAAACAGCAGAAAGCAGCGATGAGACGAGCACGATAGAAGAATCGGATTCAGAGCTGTTGGAAAAATCGTCTACGAAGGGAGGGTCGGAGGAGGAACGAGAGGAAATTAAGGAGAAGGAAGAAATAAGGGAGATAGAACGAGAGGAAATTGAGGAGGAAGAAGCAACGGAAACGCCGAGTCCTCAAAAAGAGACGCAAAAAGAAGAAACGTCGGCCTCAGGTAATTGACATTTTAATTCTAAGTCAATCATCGAAAAGTAAGGAGAGATTTTCAACATGGCTCAACTTTGAATACGAAAAAATGCAGAAAATTATTGGACGCCAAGTATTACGAAATTCAACGTGACTATTTATGTTATTATAAAGTAGTCAAAATAGTAAAGCAAACAAAAAGCAGCGTCACCGTATATTAACGCATTTGTAATGTTGATTTGAGAATTGTTGGTCAAACAAACTGAAGTCATACAGTTTATCCTTTTTGGACGTATTGATTAAAACTTGATAACTTGATAAGAGAAGAGATTTTGAAAATGTTACACGTTACACGTTTGTAACACACTTAGGATAACGATACATTGTGTGCAAAGTGTGTCATTGAAATAGTGCACCAGAATTCACAAGTGCGCTCTCCGGTTTCTGCGAATTTCAAAATTTGGTCTCGTGCCATTTTGTTTTTGTCACCTCCTTCCAACATTAGGTGCCCTGATATAATTAAACTTGGGGTTGTAAACTCGGAGAGGGATTAAAGCGCGCGCGTTGAAAATAGATAAATAATGCAATACATTATATGTACGTGGTATCAAAATAAGGAAAATTCGCGGAAAACTTCGCGTTTTCAAGAACTCGGCTCAAATCTTTAATTTAAAAGAATTAAATAAAAAAAAAAAAAAAATAAAGGAGCGTCTTAAGGAGCGTCTACTTGACATCTCGATGCAAAATTGGAAAATCCACGCGTTAGAAATTAAATTCGTTGGAATTAAATTTCTTTGGGGACATCTCGCGCCGATTAAAACGGAAGTTCTATCGATTTGAAAGAAATTTAACGCGCAAACTCACGCGGCTCGTTGATCGCGCGTGTTTACCCCATCGCGCTTGTCGGAAATCCAATCGGCGTTGCTCACCAAGTTGTCGACGTGTTTGCGTTAGCGCTGCCATTATTCGCATAGACGTTTCAGGCGTTTATTTGAATAGCGACGTCAGCGGATAGTTCGGGCGCGGATACGCAGCGCGGATCTGCGTTTCCGCGGTATGTTTCAAGGAAATCTAAACTTTCGTTACTCGCGATACTATTTCGGTCCGCGCCACAGGTTCCCGCGTTATTTACAAATCTTACGTTCTCGCAGCGATATACAGTTACATAGCTACCTGACTACTACAATGGAAATGCCCGATATAAATTCTTGGAGTATGAAATATCGCAATCGTACAACAAAGACTAACTGGCGCTTTTTAAAAATAGTATTATCGACAGGGACAAAGGCGAGAGTAAGTGAGAAAGAGAGAAGAGGGAGGAGGGGGGGGGGAGG